TGGGGGAAGGGGAAAACTTAGCTACCTATTGGGAGATGTGAAAGAACCTCCCAAGGAGGACCCAATGTATACCAAGTGGGTTCAGGAGAACTACTTGGTTATGACATGGCTGTGCAACTCTATGCAGCCACATATCAGCCGAAATTACTAGTGGGCAAAGACAGCCAAGGAGATATGGGCTGTCATGAAAGAGACCTACTCCCAACTCCTTAATGTTGCTAGAGCCTATGAATTGAAGTGTGAGGTGAATAACCTTAAACAAGGAGAGAAACTAGTTTTTGTTTATTTCTCTACCTTGAAATCCCTGTGGCCTGAAATTGACCATTTGGAGACTCTTGAGTGGGAAAGTCCAAAAGATGCACAGACCCATATAAAGCAAATCGAGACCAATAAGGTGCTTGAGTTTCTGGCTGGCCTGAATTCAGATTATGACATTGTGAGACAGCAGATACTGACAAGAGACAGTGTGACCCTATCTCAAGCATACTCCTTGGTGCATAGTGAAGAGACCAGGAGGAAGGTTATGATGCAACATCAGCCCTTTCCCCCAGCCCTGACAGCAGTTATACCTAAGTCTGGGGGTGATACAGAAAGGGACATGAAGAAGGAAGATAAATGGGATCTAGTATGTGAACATTGCAAGAAACCCAAGCATACGAAAGATACATGTTGGAAGCTCCACCCTCATTTAGTCCTAGCAAAACTGAGGAATAAAAGGGGTAATGCTCATATGGCTGTGAATACTGATTTGCATCCTCATCAGGCACAAAAGGCACGCCCTAGATACCTTAGCTGCTGTTCGGGCTGCCCTAATACAGTTGGAAAAGGAGGTTGGGAATTCAGCTCAGTCATCTCAGTCACCATTAGCCCCTGCCACATCTGCGTTTGCTCATTCAGGTACTCGGGCCTTAGCCTACCATGCTTCAGCTCCAAGTAACACTGAAAACTGTTGGGTAATAGACTCAGGTGCATCTGACCATATGACTAGCTTGCCATCATTGTTCACTACTTATCACTTATCTTCWGGTAGAGATAAAGTATCYATTGTTGATGGCTCTCTTGTTCCCATTTCTGGCAAGGGTGACATCAAGTTATCTGATACTATCTCTTTATCCTCAGTCTTGCATGTTCCTAAACTTGATACTAATTTGCTTTCAGTCAGTAGTATTACCAAACATCAGAACTGTTCAGTAACCTTTTTCCCTGACCGATGTGTTTTTCAGGACTTGGAGACGAGGAAGGTGATTGGGACTGGCCGTGAGACGAATGTGATCTATCTTCTTGGAGAGAATTCTCATTGGAAAGAGCCAGTGGATAAGAAGTCTTTTGTTTCTCAGTTTGTGAGTTCGGTTATGCTTTGGCATAATCGATTAGGTCATTTATCTTTTTAGTCTTTGAAGAGTTTGTTTCTTACTTTATTTGAGTCTGTTGAGATGTCAAATTTGAGATGTGAGAGTTGTGAGCTTGCCAAACATTGTAGAACATCTTATTCCTTGAGTAATAAAAGAAGTAATAATTCTTTTGATATTGTGCACACCGATGTTTGGGGGCCGTATCACATCCCTTCTATGGGTGGGTACAAATATTTTTTGTTGTTTGTTGATGATCATACCCGTTTTTCTTGGGTCTACCTTATGTGTTCTCGAGATGAGGTTCCCGCTCTGACCCAAAACTTTCATCAGATGATTTTAACCTAGTTTGGAGTCAAAATCAAAGTCCTCAGATCTGATAATGCAAAAGAATACTTTGCTAAGCCATTGACCTCTTATCTACTTGATCATGGGGTTATTCACCAGAGCACTTGTCCTCATACACCACAGCAGAATGGGGTTGCCGAGAGGAAGAATATGCACACTTTGGAGGTGGCTAGAAGCATTATGTTTACCTCCAATGTGCCTATCTGTTTCTGAGGTGATGCTATCCTCACAACAGTGTATCTCATTAATCGGGTTACTTCACGGGTTCTTGATATGAAGCCTCTGTTTACCCTTCTATACCCAGACGAGGAGTTGTTTACTGTTCCTCTTAAAACCTTTGGTTGTACCTGTTTTGTTCAGCTTCTTGGTCCTCATCATTCCAAATTTGACCCTAAGGCCTCCAAATGCATTTTTCTCGGTTATGCACAACTCAAAAGGGTTATTGCTGCTATGATCCTGTTTCAGGAAGGAGATTTGTCTCGATGGATGTCACCTTCTTTGAGGAGGCACCCTATTATCCTAGGGTTTCTCCTCAGGGGGAGAGTAGTGAGAATTTGGGTCTTTTTCCTCAGGGGGCACGCAACAGTGAGAGTGGGGTTAACTCATCTGAGGTTGTTCCTTTACCCATTCCATTGAGTGATGAAGGCTATAATGGTGAGGGTTGTTAGAGGGATCGGGAGTTGGAAGTCTATCACAGGCGATGCAGGCAGGTTGATCTCGGTCATCAGCAGTCTAGGCCAGCTCCAGTTCCTTCTGCAGATCCAGATCCAAGTACTACAGTCCCAGGGCCCACTGAGATACCTTCCACTGTTGCTACTTTCCCTCCTTCTTCGGATGACTTTGACCTCCCTATTGCGGTCCGTAAAGGGAAACGGCGTTGCACCACATCCACAGCTTACTGCATTTCCCAGTTTCTATCCTATGATCGCCTGTCTCCCTCTTACAGGTCCTATCTCACTTCCATTGCTGATATCCCTATCCCTAGAACTGTGAAAGAAGCCTTATCAGTTCCAGAGTGGAAAAATGCAATGAAAGTTGAAATGGATGCCCTTTTGAAAAACTACCCAAAGGAAAGAAACCGGTTGGATGTAGATGGGTATTTACTGTGAAACATAATGCTGATGGCTCCATTGAAAGGTACAAAGCCCGGTTGGTTGCAAAAGGGTTTAGTCAAACTTATGGTATAGACTGCTTGGAGACTTTTGCTCCAGTAGCCAAGATGACCATTATTCGAGTTCTATTAGCCTTTGCAGCAAGTTACTCTTGGCTCTTGTTCCAGATGGACGTTAAAAATGCCTTTGGCCTTGCTTGCTGTATATGTGGATGATATTGTTGTGACAGGGAATAATAATAGTGAGATTGAGTCCCTCAAACAGCTCCATCAAGAGTTTGAGGTGAAAGATCTTGGTGCACTGCGATATTTTTTGGGTATTGAGGTTGCTAGATCTAAACAGGGGATCTTTATTTCTCAAAGGAAGTATGTTCTAAATCTGTTGGAGGAAACTGGAAAGTTAGGTGTCAAGCCTGCCGATACACCCATTGAACAGAATCACAAGATCAGTGCAGAGGGTGGAGAGCCTCTTGAAGACAAAGTTATATTCCAACGGTTGGTTGGAAAGCTTCTATATCTCTGCCTCACACGGCCAGACATCAGTTATGCAGTTAGTGTTGTCAGTCAGTACATGCATTCACCTAGAACTACACATCTTCTTGCAGCTAAGAGAATATTAGCATATTTGAAGCGATGCCCAGGTAGAGGTATACTGTTCAAGACCAATAATCACATGAAGGTGGAGGTCTATACAGATGCTGATTGGGATGGGAGTGCTGATGACAGGAGGTCTACCTCTGGATATTGTGCCCTTGTAGGAGGTAACCTTGTCTCCTGGAGGAGTAAGAAACAAGGTGTTCTTTCCCGCTCTAGTGCCGAAGCTGAATACAGGTCAATGGCTAACGGAGTGGCTGAAATCCTATGGCTGAAGTCACTACGTGAAGAGTTGGGTATTGATTATGAGAAGCCCTTGATGCTGTATTGTGATAATCAGGCGGCTATTAATATAGCTCACAATCCGGTGCAGCATGACAGAACTAAACATATCGAAGTTGATCGACACTTTGTCAGAGAAAGGGTTTCATCACAAGAAGTGTGTCTTCCGTATATTACCTCCAACATGCAGCTCGCAGATCTTCTCACCAAGGCCGTTCCAAGGAAGAAGTTAGAGGCAGACCTTTTCAAGTTGGGAATGACAAATATCTATTCCCAACTTGAGGGGGAGTGTAGAGAACACTGATATGGGCCCCACGGCTGTGGTCCCCACTGTGTTTGTATGACAGCACATGTAACCTTTGATTAGTTTGTCAGTGTTAGTTGGTAGTTATCTTAGACAGCTTGTTATCTCAGTTATTTATTTGTTTTATTTGCCATGTAAGCATTAAGGGCAATTCTGTCCTTTCCTACATTTAGTGAACATAAACTATAAATATTGAGAGAGTGGCGGTGGCAGATTCATTCGATCTGTCTCTCCTTTCAAAACCCTTGTGTACTGCTTCTTCTCCTTTCTTCTACTTTTCTCAATCCGAAATCTGTTGGAATTCAAGACTGACTGTAGTCTTGATCGACTACTTTAACTAACCTAAGAACACTCACCCCATGGCCAACAAACCCAGGAACCACCTGCCTCTTGGGGAACAAAGCAACCCTCAACCATAAAGCAACAGAATACCCAATGGTAACCATCACTTTTATATATTCTTAAATGATTACTGTTTTAAAGTCCAGCTTGTAATTTCACTGCATATTCTTAATGTAACCATCAGATCCTTTAAGAACCTGAATTCAAATTAATTTTCTGGTGCTTAAACTAAAAATTTTAACAGCTATTCAATTCCCAAGTGATTCATTCCATGAAGTTCTTGGTGCTTATGCTTTACTGGTTTTGTTTTTCTTTATCTTGTACTCTCTCTTGTCCATAGATTACTGGCTTCTATTAAGGAACAAAATGTGGGTCATAGCTGATATTTTTCTTTTAAGTATAGTCAAATTTCAGATTTGTAATTCCTTATGTCAGTAGGTCTCTATCCAGGGAAGTTATTAAGTGTTTCTTTTTTTCCTTATAGGTACTTCCAGTGATGATTGATGTTGGAACTAACAATGAAAAGCTTCTTGAAGATCCCCTATGTAAGAGTTCTATGTACCATACCATGTCTATAAAATCATACAAATATCACGCGTAACTAGATATTGAATTGATTTTAAATAAATAACTTCCACATTTGGCACTAATTATTCCCATATGGAGTACCCAAAGGGTAATGCTATTCACATTTTCTATATTCACTGTCATAGAAAATAAAGTGTCTTGATTATTAATGTGTTAAAGTTAAAAGCTTTTGTATGGTACTGAAACTCTTAGATTTATATTTGATTCTTGGAGCAGATCCAGAAAGTACTGTAGAAGCTACTTCTTTAATGGCTTGAAAATGGTATATAAGAAGTTGTCCTTGCCTATGCAAATAATATTCCTCAATATATTTCCTAGCCAATTCCTTAGTTTCCACTTCCCATATTAGATTTCCTCTGCAAGTTACTTAAATATACAATTAAAAGATTTGAGCATATTTCCTAGATTTCCTGTATAAATAGAATGCACCCAAGTTTGTGCATGAGAGTTCCTTATGTCTAATGTTTAACCACATAATGCATTTTCAGCCATTTACGTCAACATTTATTTCTAACAATCCGATATTTCCTTTCATTTTTAAATTTCTAATTTCTTTTTTCATAAATAGACCTGGGATTGCAACAACACCGCCTTGATGGTGAGGAATACCTTTCAGTTATTGATGAGTTTATGGAGGCTGTTTTTACTCGTTGGCCACATGTGATTGTGCAGGTAAGTTGATTAACATGCATGGTGGTTTTCAATTAAATGGGACTTAAATTACTAACAGAACTTGGATACATGCAGTTTGAAGATTTCCAAAGTAAGTGGGCCTTCAAATTACTGCAGCGCTATAGGCATACCTACCGAATGTTTAATGATGATGTTCAGGTAGTCCATCGTATATAATAGCACTGTATGATTTATGCACTGGAATTCAATATATCTGTTTCACTTTTTTATCCTCAACTTCCAAGAAAAAATTTAATCACCTTCCGGTTACTAGTTGAACAACTTGCAATGATAACAAGAGGTTCATAATTCATACTGATAGAAGACAAGGTATTCATGGCCATTGTTCAAATCATTTATGATTTTTCTATTGTCATGTTGTATTAAACTTGTAAAGGTGGGAAAATCAGGGATAAACTGTATTCTACTCCCAGGGGTCTGTAATCTTTTCTAGATAGAGAGAGACGAGAGAGAGGAGAAGAGAGAGGAGAGGAGAAGTGAAGGGAGAGAGAGATATTCGATTGGGAAGAAAAAACTATAGCTGGCGGCACCCAGCTTATCTTTTATATTAACTTAATATAAAGAATGAGAAAATTACAATTATGCCCCTGGCTACACTCTCTACTAACAAACCAGTAAGAAGACAATAAAAGACACTGGCTGACAGCATGCTACTAACAACTGTAAAATAACAAAAAATAAACAACCCTCACAACTCTCCCCCTCAAGTTGGGCTGAATATGTCTATCATGCCCAGCTTGCCACATAACTCATTGTGTCTTGAGTATGGAAGTCCTTTTGTAAGGACATTAGCAAGTTGTTCCTCGGAGTTGACATAAAGGGTGCAAATTTCACTTTTTTCCAATTTTTCCCTTATGAAGTGTTTGTCCACTTTAATGTGCTTGGTCCTCTCATGTAGGACAGGATTGCTGGCGATGTTTATGGCTGCCTTGTTGTTACAGTAAAGAGACATAGGGTTATGAACAACAACTCCAATCTCCCCTAGAAGGTTTTTTAGCCAAAGAACTTCAGCCACCCCATGTGCCATAGCTCTATATTCTGCTTCAGCACTTAACCTTGCTACCACACATTGTTTCTTGCTTTTCTAGGTCACTAGATTTCCTCCCACAAAGGTGCAATATCCACTTGTGGACTTTCTGTCATCCACAGACCTGCCCAATTAGCGTCTGTAAAGACTTCCACCTTTAGGTGATTATGTTTACTGAATAGTAGACCTGTCCCYGGATATTTTTTTAAGTATCTTAGGACTCTCTCTACTACCTCCATGTGTAGTTTCTTAGGAGAGTGCATGAATTGGTTTAGGACCCCAACTGAATAGGCAATGTCCAGATGGGTCATGGACAAATAAATCAACTTTCCCACTAATCTTTGGATCTATTTCACATCTTTCAGAAGTTCACCATCATAGTCACCCAATTTTTGATCAACATCCATAGGAGTATCTGTTGGCCTTGCGCCTAACTTGCCTGTGTCTTGTTACAGATCAAGGTTGTACTTCCTTTGAGAAATGAAGATGCCCCTTTTTGAGCGGGCAACTTCAATTCCAAGAAAATACTTTGGAGGACCTAGATCTTTCACTTCAAATTTAGATGCAAGAGTTGTTTCAACTTTTGTATTTTTGAACTCTAATTTCCTGTAATGATGATATCATCCACATACACACTATCAATACAGTAACCTATTCCCGACATCTCTTCACAAAGAGTGTGTGATCCGACTGACATTGCTTGAACCCTACTTGCTGAACTGCCATATGAAACTTACTTAACCAAGCACTGGGAGATTGTTTTTAACCATAAAGAGACTTTCTCAGCTTGCACACCTTATTTTCACTTTCCTTGGCACAGAATCCATGGGGTTGAACCATGTACACATCCTCCTCTAGGTCATCATTTAAAAAGGCATTCTTTATGTCTAGTTGATGCAATTCCCAGTCAAGGTTAGCAACTAATGATAGATGAACTCAAATTGAGTTCATTTTAGCTATTGGAGCAAATGTCTCATCATAGTCAACCCCGTATACTTGAGTGTACCCCTTGGCTACTAATCTTACTTTGTACCTTTCAATTATCCCGTACACTTAAGTGGGTGTTTAACTATAAACACCCACTTACACCCCACAGTAAGTGCAGGGGTATCAATAGGTGCAACAGGGTTTGGACTTACCTCCTGGGAGCCTGACGGTGTCGGTTGCTCAATGTTTGGAAGCTCCACATTTCTGTCACATTGCTGATCTCTAGGCATGTATGTTGGAAGAAACAAAAGGGGGCGAGGTTCGGAATAGAAGGAAGAGAGACTTGGTGGACCTAAACCTGCTTCTCCTCTTCCACACTACTCTCCCCCTGAGGAGAAGCAGGGAAGAACAATTCAGACTCAAGAAAGTACACATCCATAGAGACAAAAGACATGATAACGGTATCAAAGCACCGGTACCCTTTTTGAGAGGAAGGATGCCCCAAAAAGATACAAGGAATGGACCGAGGGTCCAACTTCCCACGAGACGGAGACAAATCATGGACAAAGGCACGATAACCAAATACTCTCAAGGGAATGGAAAATAAAGGAGACTGAGGGAACAACAACTGATGAGGGGCCATGTAGTTCATCACTTTGGAGGGCATGTGGTTGATGACATAAGCAGCTGCAAGTATAGCATCCAACCAAAACCTTTTTGGAACATTCATGTGTAACATCACCCCACGAGCTACCTCAAGGAGGTGTTTGTTCTTTCTTTCTACAACACCATTTTGTTGTGGTGTTCTTGCACATGAGCTCCTGTGAATAGATCCATGGGAGGCAAAGAACTCATTGAGCTCACCATGAAAGTATTCCTTTGCATTATCTGATTGAAAGATCTGTATTTCAACATGGAATTGCATGAACACCATCCTCTGGAAGTCTTTCACAATCTTTGAAACTTCATCTCTGCTACACATGGAAAATACCCACGTATAGCGAGAGAAGTCATTGATCAGGATGCACAATATGAAAAGGAAAGCCGGATCATTTATTACTTGAAAGAAAAGTTGTTCTACATTGTTTGCTCAATTGACATGTTTGGAACTGGAAATTTGACATTGAACATGACTTAAATAAACTAGAAACAAAGACTTTACTATTTCATGAAACATGACCTACCAAACTATGCCACAGAAAAATTTGACTCTTATTCAACCTAAAAGCTTAAGCTGTTAAGTGAGGTCCTTGAATAGGTTTTATTCTCTAACATGCCCCTTCACACGAAAGCCCATTGGGCTTGAAGCGTGAATAGCACAGGCCCACTCATACCTTGTGCTGAAACTTAATTAATTATAATGGGGGTAATGAGAATCGAACACTAGACCACTTTGTCAAAAGTGGCTCTGATACCATGTAGTCTTTTTTGGATAGAGAGACGAGAGAGAAGAGAAGAGAGAGGAGAGGAGAAGAGAAGAGAAGGGGGAGAGAGAGAGATATTTGATTGGGAAACAAAAAACTATAGCTGGCGGCACCCAACTTATATTTTATATTAACTTAATATAGAGAATTAGAAAATTACAATTATGCCCCTGGATACACTCTCTACTAACAAATAAGTAAGAAGAAAATAAAAGATACTGGCTAACAACATGCTACTAACAACTGTAAAATAATAAAAAATAAACAACCCTCACAACAGGATCAAAGTGGGAAAACCTATGAAGCTTAGAGATAATCTTAGTGGAAGGTGACTTGAGCATTGGTTAAATGCCTTCTTGAGGCTAACTTTGCACATGATGCCAGCATGGCCTTCTCTTAGCTTGGAGTCGGTGACTTCGTTGGCAATGGGGACTCCATTGAGTAGCTGTCTTCCTAGGACAAAAATTCCTTGGGATTTGAAAATTATTGATGGGATTATGTTCTTCTTCATCTGCTTTGCTAGCATTTTTTCTAATATTTTGTAGAAACTACCAATTAGATTGATCATCTAGAAGTCTTCTTTTGAGTCCACAGCACCACCCTTATTTGGGATGAGGGTGATGAAGATGGAGTTTAGACTCTATCAAGGGAGGTAGTATTATGAAAATCTTTTAGTCCCTTAATGATGTCATCTTTAATAAAGTTCCAGCATTCTTGTAGAAAGAGATGAGCAAGGTTTAAAATGTCGATGTCGATGGAAATGTCGCTTACCAAAATATAGGACATATGTCGAAAATGTCGAGGGGTAATATTATAAAAATTAGAGACATTGTGGAAATATTATGAAATATGTGGAAGCATTAATACATATTTCTAGGCATTTTGATGTTTTTAGTAAAGCTAAGAAACTATGATCAATAACGAATTAGTAAATCACGATTTACTGATTTATTATGCATTTTGATGTTTTTACAAGGTTATCTGATATTTTCTT